GTGCGCCCAGCCCGGGATGCCAGCGCTGCGGGCTCCTTGGGAGGCCCGGGAGGGGGCCTCGCCCCTGACAGGAAATGGGCGATACGGTGCGCCTGGGGAGTGGAGGCGCTGAGGAGCTGGGAGCTGGGACGCTGAGCCCAGTCGGGACAAGCGGCACTCTGAGCCCCGGAGACCCGAGATAGGAGCTGGGGAGCGCACTTCTGCAGGAGGGAGACCTGGCCGGCAGTCCTAGTAGCGCCCCTCACCCCTCCCACCTATTATTAACCAGTGGCTGCAGCTGCCTCCTCCATAAGCCGTCCCAGGCAGCTGTCCCCTTGATACAGATGGGGAAACTGAGGCACGCGGCAGTTGGGTAATTTGCCCAGGGTTAGTGAAGTGACTTAAACAGCTCTTTGGAATATGCTCATAATAGAGAGCCGGGTAGAAATCGGAGGGGAGGGGAGGAGGGAGTCTGCAGGCAAGATGGGACCTAAAAGAAATGGGAGCTGCCTCGGGCAGGAAGTCCGAGGAAGGAAGGAGTTAAAGGAGGGAGACCAGATGACTCCTGGATCGGACCTCCCCACCAGCCCTTCCCAAAGATTCCCAGAGTAGAGATGGGACTGGTGCCCACGCACAAACACACACAGGAAACAGCCTGGATGTCGGAGGGGAGAATGGAGCAAGGGGAGGCGCCAAGGAACTGACCCGGGGTTCTGGTCTGGGCTGAGAGATGGCCCATTCCCAGTGGGGTCAGAATTGGAAGACAGACTTGGGGGGTGGGGGGATGTGCTGCGGGAAAGGAGAACCCTGTGTTCGAGGTCATGCCTGCTCCTGTCTTCCGAGCAAGCCAGCCACTGTGTGCTTGACCAGACATGGGGGCCTAGGAAGTGCGCCCCATGCCTAGCTCCCCGAAGCCCCCCTGGAAAGAGCATCAGATCCCCCCATGTCACAGGACACACTGGGGCTCTGAGATAGGAAGTGACTTGCCCTAAGCCACCCAGTGAGAAGTGACAGGGGCCAGGCTCCATGCCAGGGTTAATGAGGGGGTGGACAATCAGAGCCAGGAACACAGAGGACCCCTGAGGCCAGAGGCTAAGGGATGTTGGGGACCTCGGGGACGAAGACGGGGTGGACTCTAAACTGGCAACCAATCCCATTCCAAACAAGCACCCCAGCCCCTGCTGGGGGAAGAGCCTGGGCTGGGGCTGTTCTTTGGGGGGATAAGGGCCTGCGCCTGACTGCCTTGCTCTCCAACAGGCCACCCAGCCCAACGCCTGGAGCCCAGCCCTCCAGAGCCAGAGCCCCAGGCCTTCGAAGGGTCCCAGGCTGGAGCAGAGGGGCCCCCCAGCCCTGAGGCATCTCGAAGTCCCTCACGAGGGGCCTACCTGCAGAGCCTGGAGCCCAGCAGCCGAAGATGGGTACTGGGCGGGGCCAAGCCCCCAGAGGAGGCCTGTTTGGGGCCTGGGGCACCTGGCAGTGGGGAGCCTGCAGGCGAGATCTGGTACAACCCCATCCCTGAGGAGGACCCCAGACCCCCCGCACCTGAGACCCCAGGACCACAGCCAGGCTTAGCTGAGCCAGAGGGCGTGGCCCCACAAGGTGAGCACCAGCCTTACCCGCCCCCCACCCCCACCCTAGCTCCCCAAGATGACCACAGGCCTCAGCCTCATGCCGAGCCCAGGTTGCTGAACTCTGGTGTTCCCACAGGTGTGGCTCCTTCCAACTCCCCAACCAAAGCCTCTCGAACTAAGTCCCCAGGCCCCGCCCGCCGCCTG